GAATTATAACTGAAAACAACTTGTGAAAAATAAACTATGTCACAATGCTCTATGACCCCCACCGACATGAAAATGGGGTATAAGTATAACTGATGTATCAATTAAAATTTGAATTGGTTATAGAACACATCTCTTGTCTTCTTGACTGATTCCCAGGATCCTGTCTGATAAAGAGGGTGCAGCTCCGGCAAAATATCCATCCTATCCCCCTACAAATTGGTGTCAGAAGTTTTTGGGGTGCATTTGTGAACGGAACGAAAGAGATCAGGTAAGAGAATTGGGTGTCTTTTTCACCTTTGTTCTTTTACTTTTCTTTTTCCATCCTTCATACATTGCATAGCTACGTTTTTATTGAAAGGGGATTTAAGATTTTATAAGGTCTCCTTGGGTAGGAGTAAAGCCTTACTTGTCTATGGGAGACGTCCCTAGACCCCTCTTTGGTAGAGGTTACCTTTGGTAGGTTGTAAAACAGATTTCCAGTCTTTGGTGGACTTTGGTATTGATTTAACTTAGTTGTTAGTTTGTTAAGCTAAAAAAAAAAAAAAGAATTGTTAACTCTGTACTTGATGGGTATTTTGGCTGTCCTGCAACTTTTTTTTTGCATGCAATATATTTGGTGGCTTTTTATATAATTGTGCAAGGAATTGGAATTTCTGGTTTTAAGCGATACTGCTCGTGGAGAAGTAACAGTTTTGTGGAAACTTTTGATTCCAGACAGCTGTTCTTTAACCACTGAATAATCAGCTATTCCAAATCCGATTCTTATTGAGTTTGAAATGGGTACTTCCCAGTCTAAAAAATACCCTCGCCCTAATCCAGGGGAGACTTGCAAGCAGTATGTTGCTAGAGTTGGTGAACTGGGGGATTATTTAGTGGATCCTTGGGTGGACAATTTGTCAGGGTGGACACAAGGACAGGGCAGTGAAACTCCCTTCCCTAAAGACGGGGCTAATGATGATTATTTTCTGAGTATGGTTAAGGGATTATGTTTGGAAGATAAGAAATCTTTTCCTTGGTATGAGGGAGATCCAGAATGGGACAAAGAATACATGAGACAGGG